ACTCTTTCATATTTAAATTAATAATATTTAAAGTTTAAAATTGTTATGTAATTGTTTTTGAGTGAATGTAACCTGTATTTTGAATTATTTATAAAGAAGAAAGATTGTCAGTTTTTATTGATTTATCTCAACTATCTATAAGATTTATGTAAGTATAGTTAAAAAATCAATAGAAATAATTATGTCTGGTAATAGTATGAAATGCTTGTCAAAAATTAAAAGACATTCATTTTTTTGATAAAATATTTAGACACAATTTTAATATGAATGTTAAGATAATAAAACTATCTCTGGTTCATGCAGTAAACTGTTTAAAACTTTAAGATTGGAAAATTAAACTTAATAAATGAATAACTATTTGTATTAAAGTTAAGGGTAATCCAAAATTTTTGCTTAAATTTTATACAAAAATCGTTTAAGAAATAGAAAACAATATCTTGCTATTAGTGGAATATCGCAATTTAGTGATATTTAGTGCTATTTGTATTTCAAATGTTTGACTATTAAGGGCCTTACTAAAGTGAAACAATTAAAGTAATACAGTTAGCAGTAAATATCAGTAGATGGCAGTATATTGTCAATAATTTGACATTATATCATATGGAGCAACTTTAGATTGGTTGGTGATTTACAGAAACTGCCTGTGGTGTGCTAATGAGAACTAATAAGTTTGCAATAGATGAGTCAGTGACCATGAACTTAAAGTGCTTTTTTAATTAGAAAAAATGTTACTTACGCAAATAATTTTTTATTGAATGGTTATCAAACAAATGAATGCCTTCAGCAGTAGTAGACAATAAGTTGATGAAACAGCGATTATGGAGTAATTTACTCTACAATTTGTCTATCTAATAGTGTACCAGATTCTTACAATTTAATTAACTATTTTGAAAGTTAATTTCGTATTTGTGACAACACTAATGTGGAAAGCAAAAAAAAATATTTTTTTTTTCACGATCTTATTACGTACTTTAGTACCTGCCCATTTCTTGGTAAACGTGCTTTAAAAATGAAAAAATAATTTACAATAGGTATTATCTTTTTGTAGGTCCGTATTTTTTTGCAGTCTTTTTAGATACCTTTCTTATCGTTTCAGAATGTAACGAGCATAATTTGTAATAGAAATTGTTTTTATTATTTTTTAATTATTGTGTGGGAGATGAAAACATAATAATTGTGTCGTGATGTGTAACAGTTGGCACTGAAATAGAAAGATAGTTAGATAGTTAAATTATACGTAAGAAAAATAGAGAGTATCTATTTATGTGTGTATAGAATGTAACATTTTTAATTATACAGGGTGTCCCACGTTGCAATTCTACCTAACCTATTTCATTTTTGCATAAAAGTAATAATAACTGAACGAATGTTAACAGGACAAGTTTTGTAGGGCTTAAAATAACGTTGAGGATAACTATGTGGTTATAATTTTTTAACTATAAAAGTATATATAATATACTAGGGTGCTTCAAACAAAATTTTTATTTTTTTTTCTAACTCCTACCCCCTCAAATGTTTCTATTTGAT